GAGAGGGAGAGGGAGAGGGAGAGGGAGAGGGAGAGAGAGAGAGAGAGAGAGAGAGTGAGAAAGAGAGAGAGGGAGAGAGAAACAAAAATAAACACACACATGGACACACACACGCACGCACGCACGCACGCACGCACGCACGCACGCACGCACACACAGACACACGTTATACACAATGCACACAACACACACCACAGGCACATGCATACACACACACATACACATAGTATAGATATGTTCATGATCTTATCATTTGCTACCAGGTTCATGCCCTCACTCTGATGGCCAAATACTGGTTCTCTCTAATGACTACAAAGCACAGGTATTATGTGTATGCAACTGGTTAATGAGGTGACCACACTAATTAACCAGCTAGCCCCCCCCCCACACACACACAATAAGATCTGGACTCATACAATGGGATAAAAGACATACAGGTGTTTGAGTCAACTGAACATTCTCCCCAGTTGTCCAAAGCACATTGTTAGAAGATGTCTATTACATGAGCTGCATTCGGTCAGCAAACACAACCCTGCTGTTTGCAATTGCCTATTATAAAAAACAAACGGCACGCGTATCCTCCTCTTAAGAAGATTCGAAAAAAGCGAGCCCCCGAGGTTGGTTCGGTACATAAAATTATGCTAATTCACTCGAACAAGGTATGCTGGCTGTCAGACAATAAACGAGCGGGAGTGATGCTGGTAGCGCGCTAGCGAGTGAAGCGACTCATCTGCCCTCACCTACACAAACACACGCGCACGAGTGGGAGAAGTACGCCTCTCATCAAACGGTTATTACGCCGGGCAAACACCGTTATGGCCGCGCGGAGAAATTCACCTGCTCGCTCTCTCTCCGGCAGCCGCGTGACAGAGCGAGACAATTACTCATCCCATTAGCGGCCCGTGCACCCGTATCGCTGCCCGGCGCCACGCGGTATTGTTCTGTGAGCGATCAGGTGAGGGCTCCCGTTACTTAACTCGGCCAGAAAGCAGCCGACATCACACGTCGCTGGCCATTCGAGAGCGGCGGTGCGGTGCACCCCCCCTCCCTCCTTCTCCCCGCCGTGCGTCTCCGTCTCGCCTCCGCCTCTCTCTCTTTAAACGAGTGGCTCATTAATAATGCGCATCTGCCCGCGTTGGGCCAGAGGGGCGATCACTTATCACTCGCGTGCGGCGGGAGGAATTGTGCCTGGTAGGAACCGCATCGGATTGCTATGCCGGCACGCGTACGACATTACGCGCACGTGCATGCATTTAACTAAATGAAATTAGCTGTTTGCATGCTTGTGCACTGCGACACGATAGACCTATACCTGTGATGCAGGCAGAACAACATGTTGAACCTTCAAGCTTATATGTCACAAATACTTCCTCACCTCCACTGACAAGTTGGAACCTAGTTGCTACCTACCTGTGATCACTGGCCTGATAATGTAAACTGTTTATTGTCTTGTAAGAAAGAAACGGGGGGGGGTGTCAGTAAAGATCGCTGACACAGGGCGAGCTAAATGACAAGATTTTGTCTTTGATCTCGCACTCACTCTTTCAGCAACAACGAACAGAGGAAGTTTATCTGAAAGGCTCATCTTCCCTGTGGATTACTCTGTAGAAATAGTGAAGAATCTGACAAGATTGTTCCCCTGATGGCGAGCATAAGCAGCCGTTCAGAATGCGAGCCAACAGTATCTTCTCGCTCTCAAAACCAACAGCCATTAGTTGTCCAATAAAGAAATTAGTCAGACCTGCTCCCAGAACACCTGATATGTCGTTAGGCTCACCGTGAATTGCTTTATTGAGGCTACCCACTGTGCCCCGAAGGTAGACAAATGAGAGGGCCTTGCCGAAAAGCTTGCAGCCGCCGCAAAACCATAAACCACGCGCTAAAGCGCCTGCCACAAAACGAAAGCATAAAGGACTGACACAAAGGCAATACAGGGAGCGTGTATGGCGATGAACGACGTACGAAAACATTTGTCAGAGATCAACTCGACGGGGTTGCTCCGAACACTTACGGTTAGCGTGTCCATTAAATCCTCAAAGCATCTCAACTCGTCTGCCGTCCGAAATACGAGAAATCTGTCAAACAGCTGCAGTAACTGAGAAAGATGAACGAATGGATTTTAAGCACAAGTACACTAAAACATATAAATTGTAAAATGAGTAAACACAGGGTGCACGAAGGTGATATGAAACAATGAATGATGTAAAGTTATAACAGTTAGGGACTATAAAATTACAATGTAAAAATAAGGGGTTAAGTTAAGGAGTGTGTGGCGGATTAAAACAAAAATAAAATAACATAAAATAAATAATATTATTATAGATTCAATCTTCACTAAATTGCTGAATTGGACCATTTTTATGTAATTTTTATACATTTTAACAAATTGACTAGCTATAGTAACTCTTTTACCAAGTCAGGTAACTTGGCTGTTTGGACATAGCCAATGGCAGCTTCCCTAACTTCACCGAGTCCTTCACACAGCTGCTGGCAAATCCTCAAAAGCTGACTCAAGCTGACAGCACAGAGGTGCGTAGCCACTAGTTCCTAAGAATGGAAGATGTTTACATTACAATAATAAATAAATATAATCTAAACCACATGCAAGTTTAAGTACTTTATTCGCCGAGAATGTGTGTGAGCATGCATGCATACAAGCATGTGTTGTGCACATTCGTTTATATGAATATTTGTTTGTATATATTAAAGTAATACCGTGGTACCGTTGCATTATTTGTGGTACCAATAGTTCCTTGTGGATTTGTCAGTTGTTATCCAGTTCTGTGAAATGAACTAGTTTGCTATGGATATATTATAAAGTCAGACTGGTCAAACAGAACAGCTATAGCATATCGACTAGTGCTTGCAATCGGAATACCAACTCATTACAGGACAATACCTACGTAATCATTCTGCAACACATTAATACCTGCGTTACTTGTGGATATGACACTAATCTTAGTTAGATTACAATGCTAGATGGGCGAAAACTGGTCCCAGTTTGTGCTATGTAAGTAGCTATAGGTGTTAGTGTAGGCGAAGTTGCTCATGATTTGTGGCTCATGATAGGTTTATATATGGCAGAGTAAACCCGCATCATCTACGGGCGCAAGCCAATGTGGCAAATCTACACATTTATAATAGCACACCAGGTCATGCTGATGCCGAGTATCATGCTGGTAGCAGCAAACCATAATTGCAAAGGAACCAGCATCAATTAAAATGATTCTATACTGGATGCTGGTTTCACCTGTCATTGAATGGCTACACTTTTAATATAAACTTGTAAACTACAGTTAATTACCAAGCCACTATTATTCAACTATAAGAACCGTTATATAACTAGTTTCCTGTTATTAACCTCATGCATGTGCAGGATAAAGGAACAAGGGAATTTTATACGACATTACACCGACTTTGAACAAAGGCTGCTTGCTCGATGGAACAGACTGTTAATTTACTTCTACAACTTAAACTGACCTGTTCTAGTTGTGCGGCAGCCTGAATAAAAACACATTTGCAGCGCTGCTCATCGTCAGTGTGATCCTGTATTGTCAATGCCTGTTTTTCCAGCTCATCGTTTGACTGCATGGTGGCAGATCAAATAGCTGGACAAGGCAAACGCAGTCACACTCACAGATCACTGACCCAACAGCCTATCGCAATAGCCTATCAAGGATAATCATTATCCTTGATAGGCTATTGCGATAGACTGTTGGGTCAGTTCTTGCTGCTTTGTTTTTGCTTTGATTTTTGTTGCTTCTATTATCTCATACCGGAAGTCTTTTTAATGAGCCGTGCTTTAAATTAATTGACACTCAAAACATAGCCACAACAATCACAATGTGACTATCAATACAGGAAAATTAATGTATCTTTATGATAAATTTTACGATTCAGCTGGATTATGATCATTATATCATAATGATCATAATCCAGCTGAAACGTAAAATTTATCATAAACTGATAAAGAGACATTAATTTCCTTGTATTGATAGTCACATTGTTGTGGTTATGTTTTGAGTGTCAATTAATTTAAAGCACGGCTCATTAAAAAGACTTCCGGTATGAGATAATAAAAGCAACAAAAAACAAATAGTAAATAGTAATGGATCATCCATGTAATGGGTGAAAAAGTGTGTATCATCACGTATAAATTATCAATACTACAATAGCATGAATATGATTATGAATATCCTCATAATGATCATGAACACAGAACAATACCGGTATCAATCGGTGTGAAGGTATCATAATTGCTTTATTATTGATGAATATATGCCTACCTTGTGAATATCATGTAAGTACTAACCACAGTAGACACGGTATAACGATTAGAAGTTTAAATGTTGATTAGGTTATCGCGTTTGTTTTAAAATTACATGAAAATCCATCACCTTTACAATCGCAGACGAAATTGTGGCGCCGCCTGACGTAAAATTCAACGTCATAACATTTAAACCAATGGGCGTTCGAGAGTTAAGGTCATAGGTCAGGCTAAAACAAATGCAAAGTTGACTTTGTTTATTTATTAATTTTTGGATTGTTTATTAATTTATTAACTTAATATTAAATCGGTATAATATATTAATAGTTGTTTATTTAATTATTTTTAATTAATTTATTAATTAGTTGTTTGTTTTTGTTTGTTTTTTATTTACTTTTTGGTTTGCTTAATTGTGTATTATAGAATATAGTTAGTTTCTCTTAGAAAGCACCCAAGCCCTTGAGCTTTTGCACTCAAACCAGTGAACATATGTACTCTAATGCAACTTACCATGACATTATTCAACCAGCAATACTTGAAAACCTCTACTTACATAATATAGCCAGCCGTTTAGTCACTTTATTTCTTTTGTTCATTTCACTAGATATCTTTTAGTTTTACGCATCAAATAACATTGTTATATATATAATTGAAATATTTATGTAGATTTTTCTATTAACCTTTGTGTATAATGTGAGAGTTGACGTATTAAAAATATAATTCTTTTCAGCTTATAATGGGTAATATTATGCTTTTATAACTTTGAAGATAATTCAAATTCGCTAACATTGTTATATAAATCTATTTCTCTTTCTTTCCTCTCTCTCTCTCTCTCTCTCTCTTCTATGGGCGTAATCGCGGGGCTGGATAGCGGTCGGGATGCATTTCCGCGGCCGACCGCTCGTCCTTGTGAGGGGGGGATGGCTGTACAAATGATGCCGCTGAGAGAAATTCAAAACAACAAAAAAAAAACTCCTTCCTTCCGCTGCTCCTGCCCACTGAAAGTATCCAGGTTCAGCTACATTGTATAGATAATTTGGCAACATGGGCAGAGGCCTAAATCATTCAATTACTGCAGGGCGTGTACATGGGGTGGAGGGGTCCGGATTGTGTGTGTGTTGTGGTCGGCCCCTTCCCTTGCATCGCGCAGCAAAACGCATCTGGAGTGGGGGTCTAATTAGTCAAAAAAATCGGCGGGGGAGTGACCCCCCCGACCCCCCATCTCTGCTGTGTGCGTAATTCATCCCCCCACTCCTCGTTTACGGTGGCATTTACGCCGCCCTGCTCTCTCTCTCTTTATCTTCCTCTACTTGTTCGGTCATCTGTCTCCTCCTTTCTTCTTCTCTCTCTTCTCTTCTCTCTCTCTCCTCTTCTTCTCTCTTCTTTCTCTCTCTCTCTCTCTCCTCTCTCCTTCTCCTTTCTTCTACTTCTTCTTCTCTCTCTCTCTTCTCTCTCTCTCGTTCCTACTCTCTCTATCTCTCTCTCTCTCTTTCATCTCTCTCTCTCTCTCTCTCATTCTCATCCGCGTGGCTCTCTCTCTCTCTTCTCGTCGTCTCTCTTCTCTCTCTCGTTCCTCTCTCTCTGGGCTCTGGGTGGGCTCTCTCCTCTTCCTGGCTCATCTCTTCGCTCTCTCTCGTCTACTTCGTCTCGGGCTGAGCTGCTGCGGGGGGGCCGGGCGTGCTCGTCTCTAGTCTCTCTTCGGGCGGGGCGCGCTCCTCTTCTTCTCTCTCTCTCTCTCTTCTCTCTCTGCTCGGTCTCTTTCTCTTCTCTCCGGTGGCGGGTCGAGGGTCTGCTTCGGCGGGGGTGGGCGGGGCTGGTTCCACTCTCTGCTCTCTCTTCTCCTCTCTCTCTACGGCGGCGGCGAGCTCTTCTACTGCGATCTGTCTGTCTCTCATCTCGTCTCTCTCGCTCTCTCTCGCTCTTATCTCTTCTCTTCTCTCTCTCTCTCTCTCTCTCTCTGCTCTCGTCTCTCTCCTCTCTCTTCTTCGCTCTGCTCTCGGGGTCCTCCTTCTCTCTCTCTTCTCTCTCTCTCATCTCTCTCCTCTCTCTCTCTCTCTCTCGTCTTCTCCTCTCCTCCTCTCTCTCTCGATCTTTCTCTCTCGCTGCTCTCTCTACTTCTCGTCTCTCTCTCTCTCTCTCCTCTTCTCTCTCTCTCTCTCTCTCTCTCTCCTCTCTCATCTCTCTCTCTCTCTCTCTCCTCCTCTCTCTCTCCTCTCTTCTCTCTCGGCTCTCGTGCATTTGTTTTCTCTATATCTCTAGCTATCTGTCTCTTCTCTCTAGCCTCGCTCCAAACTCGTCTCGTAGTCCGCACCCCTTGACACCCGTTCACGTAGCTTCGCGCACAGGCAGACAGCGCGGGACGTCGAGGTCGAGGCTTAGCGGCACAGCGTCGCACGCGAGGCGATAAAAAACCCGCGGGCAGCGCGCGCGGCTATCCTCTCTCTCTCGTTCTCTCCTCTCGTCTCTCTCCTCTCTCTCTCTCTCTCTCTCTCTTTCTCTCTCTTTCTCTCTCTCTCTCTCTCTCTACGCTCTCTCTCTTCTCTCTCGCTTTCCCTCTCTCTCGCCCACTATCTCTCTCTCTCTCTCTCTCTCTCTCTCTCTCTCCTCCTCTCTCCTCTCTCTCTTACTCTCTCTCCCTTCCTCGCTCTCTCTCTCTTTTCTCTCTTTCTCTCATATCTCTCTCTTTCTTATCTCGTCTCTCTCTTCTCTCTCTTCTCTCTCTCTCTCTCTCTTACTCTCCCTATCCTCTCACTATCTCTCTCTCTCTCCTCTCTCTCTCTCTCTTCTCTCTCTCTCTTCTCTCTCTCTTCTCTCTCTCTCTCTCTCGCTCATTTCCCTCTTCTCACACAAGATACTCTCTACACTATCTCTCTCTCTCTCACACACACACACACACACCACAACTCTCTCTCTCACTATCACTCTCTCGTCCTCTTCTTTCCTTTCTCTCTCTTCCTCTCTTCTCCTCTCTTCTCTCTCTTCTACTCTCTCTTCTCACTCCCTCCCCCCCCCCCCCCTTCTCCTCTCTCTCGCTCTCTCTCTCTCTCTCTCTTTCACCTCCCTCCCCCCCTCTCTCTCTCTCTCCTCTCTCTCTCTCTCTCTCTCTCTCGCTTCTCTCTTCTCTTTCTTCGCTCCCCTCCCCCTTTCTCTCTCTCTCTCTATCTCTCCTCTCTCGTTTCTCGCTGCTACACAACAGCTCCGATCGTCGCCCTCTTCGTGCTCGCCGACGATGCCTCTCTCTCTCTCTCGCTCGTAATCGCCGACGCGTGGCCTGCGATTGGTCGCCCGGGCGTTGCTTACGTAAAGTCTCCTCTCTGAGCGCGGGTTCTTCGCGCGCGCGCCGCGCGGACGCGATCGGGAGGCGGGAGAGGCGATAAACGCGCGCCGATGATGGCAAACGTTGACAGATCGCGACGACCCGTACGACTCACCGACTTCGTGTCATAAGCTTACCAGCATCTCTCCCCGTGGAAGCGGCGATACGGCTAGCAAGCAGCAGCTTACCGCCGCGAAACGCAAGTAACGGTCTAGCAGCGCCCGGCGGCGGCCGAGCAACGCGGGGCATCTAACGGGTCGACAACGCGTGCAGGTAGGCGGCATGTCTTTTTATAGGTGCTCTCTCTCTCTCTCGCGTGTGTGAACGAATAATAACGTTACGCGAGAAGCGTGAGGTGGTGTAAGTTTCGAATATATATATACAGGTTGGAGGACGATCGAATTTCGGTCTAACTACTGAAGCTTGCATGCATATCGTAAAATGATAAGCACCTGTATAATGAAGTAATAAACTATGTAAATAATAATGAATATTATATATATATATATATATATATATATATATATATATATATATATTACATGTGTCGAGCTGTTACACGTTTAATAATATTCCAGTAAAATCGTATTTGCAAGTTCTTCTAACTTTTTCTCGCGCCCGTTGAATACTAACTAACATATCGCCAGGGATATACGCGAGCATCGCCGGCTTATCAACAATCATTCACTAATTGTGGATCAGTGCCAACTGTTCTCCTAGTTGGTAGCAACCTTAGTGTTCCTTTTTGTCTGATTGCCGGTTTCAGCCCGAACATGTTATAAAACAGAAACGTGAGCTGATCCACGCGAAATATATTAACAGTAAATACGATATATATATACTAGTAATATATACTACTATTATAGTATACTATAGTTAGTAACAGTAACGGTCCCGTTTCAAGACAACCGGTTCTCTACACCTATCCATCTTACATCTCTACCCTAAATCCATCATATCACACACCTATATCCCGCACCCTACACATACATCATAAACCCAGCCTAAACATCAACCCTAACTCCACCACACATCAATACCCTGTACCTGACACATATATCCCCACGCCAATTTTACTCCAACCTTGCACCACCCTAGTTACACTAGTTACACCACCACCACGTGCACTATTTACGATTATCCCCAAACCAACCTAGTACGAAAGGTTTGTATGAATGTACGTAGGATGTGTGCCGTAAGGAAACCTCATTCGTTCCGAGATCCTGGCAAGCGAGTTCCCGTTTTCACCCCCGCGTAGATGTGCGATTATGCAACATATACTGCTTACAACTTACTGTCTGCTGCAGTGAATTTTATACATATATACACGCATATATATATATATATTACACCACATAATATAAAGTAATATACTTTTTTTACATTTCTGACGGGAAAGATAGTCTACTCGGTTTAACAACCATATTTAGAAGTTGTTCAAGCAGATCGAAGATCTAGAGGCGCGGTATAAGGTTTGGCGGGAAGGAGCGGTAGGCGAACTACCGTAGCATGATTAATGAGTTTAACCAAATGAGTGTGTGTGTGTGTGTGTGTGTGTGTGTGTGTGTGTGTGTGTGTGTGTGTGTGTGTGCGTGAGTGGGCCCATGCGTGCGTGCGTCCGCGCGAGTACGTGTACGTGCATGTGCATGTGCAGGTTCATGTGCGTGTGTGCGCGCCCCGTCTGTGTGCGCGCGCGCCGTCTGTGTGTGCGCATGTTCGTCTGTGTGTGCGCGCGTTCGTCTGTACGCACGTGCGTTCGTCTTTCTGTGCACGCGTCCGTCTGTGTGCGGTCACGTGGGTGTATGCGCCTGTGTGTGCGTGTACATGCGTGTGTGGGTG